TACTTACTTATTTCTTATGCCACCATTCCCCCCCCCCCCCCTGCACTGCTTCTTCCTTAACTATAGAATGCCTAAAGTTTGAGTCACAGGCATCTCTAACAGAAGACATACCTTTAGCAGGAACCTTAAGTATGTCTCCTAATAGAGCAGAGTCCATAACAATGTCGACGCCATTTACCAGTGCATAGATTTGATCAGATCCAACGGTAAAGAGGTCTGCATGGAAACTTTGAACCTCTTCCTCATATACCTTGGGCACATCCACCTTGAATAGGTTTCCCCACTGTTGAAACTCAACCATCTCAATCACTTGACGCATTCTAGCCATATCAGAAATCTCAGTGTCAAAAGTATGACCCCACAGCACTTTCTGATACCTCAACCTTTCTTTACCAGATATACTTTCCTTTCTTTCCTTCTTCACAGAACTGGGTTCCTTCACATACCCCAACTTCCTTTTCACAGACTTTCCACTGGACTTAACTTTCCCACTAGACTTCACTTGCACATCCTCATCAGACACAGACTATTCTACCACAGCTTCCTTCAACTTGCTACTATCCTTTACTGACTTGTTACTGGTGTTTCAACAACCACTTTTGAATTACTCTCAGTAGAGTGCTTCTTTTTCTTAGACTTCCTGATCAAGGAACTTAGTTCCTCTGTGGCTTCCTCATCAACTTCCACAACTGGGATATTCTTGTCATAAACAATTTTACCTTTCTTCACCAGCTATTTCTTCTTCTTCCTGTTACTTCTCTTACTCTTTTTTAAGGCAGACTCAAAAGCCTCCTTCTTCTGCAACCTTGTGTGGTAGGTCGCTTAGGAAGAGGCTCAGGAGTTGCTACTGGCCTCCTTACGGCAATGAACGCACTCAGAGCAACATCATCCTGATCTTCTTCATCACTGGACCTCATAACATGAGCCACTACTTCCAAAGGCTCAGCATCAAAGTGAGGAGAAGGAGCAGGGTTGATACTAACCTAGGAAGATGATTCCTGACTTGTTTCCTCAAGAGAGGGATTAGGTCCATCAAGAGGGGTCCCAGTAGTCTCTTGTGGTGCAGGTTGTTCAAAAAGCACCATTGCTCTTTCTCCCACCAAGGACTGAGTTTCTTTCCCTTAAGCCTCAGACACAGTGGACTTTTCCTTCCTAATAATTCCACAGTAGCAATAGTCGACATATTTTCTATGGCATCCCTCTCTTGAAGTTCCATAGAAGCAACAACAGGAGAGACAGGAGTACTTACAGACTTATCAGAGATTTCCTTAGAACCCTTAGAACTTTCAGGACTGATCGATGAAGCTTTTTCTGTCGATGAAGACTTACTCTTTTTCTCCGGAACTGCAATGT